TATATATATATGTATGTATATGTGTGTGTGCATAAACTGTTATTTATATCTTTTGGACACATTCTTTGCTTGTTTCAGATGGCCGTTACTAACTTTTTTATAATGAAGTTATATTTGTTACATTATTTTAGCTCTAGTCTTGTGGATGGATGTCTGACTTTTTATTTGCACTGGCATGTATGTCACTTATTCAGAATAGGCAAGGCTGTTAAAATAGCTTTAAGGACACATTCTATTGTGTCAGATTAAATGGATTACAAAAAGTACTTATGTGCTGGTTTTCCAGACTTATAAGCATCTTTATCACAAGCACAGTTTTCTTATAGAAAACAGACCGTCAGTATATGAATGTCTTGAAGGAATCTGGTTAGCAACTACATAACAAGCTTCTAAAACAAGGCTAGTGAGTGCATGGCAAGTGCACTGTGTTTTTTAATACATACAATTCTCATTGTACACAGAGTCATCAAGCATATCTTTGCATGGTATTCTACTGAATATGCTGAGGCTTGTTTCTCACAGGAATTGCAGTAGCTGTATATCTCACTACAAACATAGTATGTCTATTCTCTACACAAATGCTAAGCATTATGTTTTCATCTTGAATTAATGTATTTTCATAGCAATTTTATCTCTTCAAGTTTAAATAAGAATGGCCTTGTTTTGTGTTTTTGGTTCATACCTTTTTGTTTGCTGATAATTATTCATATCTACTGTGTATTTATGAAGATTTTGTTGCCAATGAGGTGTAGTCCTTTTGATATGGTCAGTCCTCAAGTAACGTTAGTGTATTGATGAAGGCCAACTGGAATCTAATGCTGGAATCGGTTGATTTGTATATTTGAATTGTGGTAACTTACATTCCAAATAGACACATATGTAATCTTGCAATTATTAATAAATGATTGATTAAATCGTATTTACTTCTGTTCGTTAATATTGTATCTATGGTCTCATTACCTCTCAGGAACGTTCTGTTGTGTTTGTCTCGTGAAGGTAATTTACTTACACAAACATCCTCGAACAATGGAGAAATCAACAGTAGTCATGCTCGCAGTTGTTTGTTTCATATTCAAAATTCTGTTTAGCTGTTGTTTTTGCACCGTCTGGCTGTTAAACAACAACCAGTAAACTTGAACAACAGCGGAAAGTCGAACATCGCGTTCTAATCGCCGAATCAAGCACCTGCAGCGAGGATGACCAATCAAATACAAGAGCTCGTCGCTATGGAAACACCGAACGCTAAAACAGGAAAGAGCAAAGCAGCGTTCAGGAAATCCAGGTGGTTTCAACTCATTAATCATCGTTTTGTTTCACTTCTCACCGTGAGTATACAGCGAATAGATTATTACGGATAAATAAAGCCTTTATACTGTGGCGTCATGTGCTGGTTGCTGAATTACAGCAATTTAAGAGCATGCTGTTTCCTTACTCCATAGTCAGTAGTCCACGATTAGAATTACTCAGTCATAGCTCATAGCTAATACCTGTGTATTAAAGTTGAATTACTATAATATATTATAATTACAATGCATGCCGTTTTTATGAGCTCATATTCATAGAGACTACACGGAGTAATTTTAGAATTCATTTTGTCACACCATTTCATTTAAAAATGAGCTAGTGAAAGAAAAAGGTGAAAACTTCAAAGGTATGGCAACCAGTTAAAGGACCTATGATTATACACTTTCATTACATGTTCATATAAATTTAATAATTTCCTTAAACACATTATGCATCAACTACACAACAGAGGGTTTCGTAATCGTTCCATACAGGAGAACCAATTTTGGTTTCCTACCTAAAGAACCTTGCAGTAAACAGTTTTTAAAAGAGTGAAAAACATTTAAAAATTGTAAATAAGCTTTTTCTACTTTACAGAACCTTTTGTGCAATGGAAAGGTTCCATGGATGTTAAAGGTTCTTTATGGAACCACGGCTGCCAATAAAGAACCTTTATTTTTAAGTGTTGCCAAATAAACAGATAAAAGCCTAACAATCACTCTTGTCACCTTCAGATCAGATAGGTGTAGGATGGCAGGTACATCGCGGCATGACCGAGAGATGGCAATCAGTGCCAAGAAGCAGCTGGCGAATTGTTCAGACCCCATTGAGCGTCTGAGGCTACAGTGTTTGGCACGAGGGTCTGCAGGAATCAAGGGACTGGGCAGGTACAGTATGCATTATATGTGTTGCTTTATATAGACTGAAGTGCAGATATTTGACTACAGTCTGATGTTCTCAGGACTTTTAGGATCATGGATGATGATAACAGTCGCACACTGGACATGAAAGAGTTTCTGAAAGGCCTGAGTGATTATGGTGTGCTCATTGAGAAAGAAGAGGCTATGAACCTTTTTCAACAATTTGACAAGGACGGCAGTGGATTAATTGATTTTGATGAGTTTCTTATCACTCTGAGGGTAAACACACTTAAATGGTGTTGTGTTTCCTTTAGACCAGTTCAGGCTGAGGCCAGTTTAGTGCTCATGCTGTTATTTTCATTCATGTGATTGCAGCCACCTATGTCTAATGCCAGAAAGGAGGTGGTGCTACAGGCATTCAAAAAGCTAGATAAGACCGGAGATGGTGTGATTACAATCGAGGATCTGAGAGGAGTATACAATGTCAAACATCACCCCAAATACCGAAACGGTGAGTGGACCGAAGACCAAGTATTCCGCAAATTCCTGGACAGCTTTGACTCTCCGGATGACAAGGATGGGAAGGTATGAAGATGCTGAAAAACATTCTTTTTTTATCTAAAACATACCGTATCAAGCATAACAGTGTATTAAGAGTACACAGACTGAACGAGATCTTTGGTTTTAAGCATTCACAATCACAATGTTCCCCCGATGGCATCATTACAAGTCATTTTCTGCAGTGTTCTCTTTGATGATGCTATGTCTTCACACATCAGGTCACAAAAGAGGAGTTTTTGAACTACTACTCCGGAGTGAGCGCATCCATTGACACAGATATCTACTTTATATTAATGATGAAAAATGCATGGAAGCTTGACTAAACATCTATTTTTGGGTAAAGAACAAAGACGGTCAACCTTCAGCAAAAGTATGTCTTGTCCCTTTCATGACTCTGTCAAACATTTCATAATAGATTTTATTGTAAACTTTAATATATATATATATATATATATATATATATATATATATATATATATATAAAAAATATACACACATTTTGAGCACATGAGAGCTTAAAAGCAACTGGCAGAGTTTTGACAGGGTTGAGTCTAAAATAATGTGGCAAGTTTACCTTTGGTGTCTAACAACTATTAACTTTGGGGTTTTGGGAATCTACCACACATGATCAAAAAAATCAACCAATTATTTATTGCACACAGTGTTTCTCACTGAAGTCAAGCAGCTGCACTAGTCAATGTATTGTTTTATTCCAGAATCAGCCACACCATCTAACAAATGCAGGTGGTGTGGTATTGTTGCCTGAGTCTTATGATTGTATGCATCCTCTTTATTTGGCTATTGAAAGCTGTCTTTGCACCTGTTCGGATTTCTGTGAGAAACACTCAAAAATTCAAATACAAATTATGTTTGTTATTAATTCACTCCAAAATTGTTCTCTTTCTTTCCGGGTTGGGATGATCCTTTTGCTTTGTGGTTTTGGTGATGAGGGTCTCTGAAAGGGCTACCAGTTTGTTTTATAACATTATTTTCTCTTTTCCATTTACAGGTGACAAGGGATGAATTCTGGAACTATTACAGTGGAGTCAGTGCTTCTATTGACAATGATGTATATTTTATTTTAATGATGAAAAATGCATGGAATTTATGAGGGGTTATGCTTTTAAACAAATTGATAATGCTTGTGAAATCAAAGCAAGTTGATAACCTGACACAACTGAAAAGTGTTTTAGGGATATTAATAATGAATCTGGAAAATCAAATGATAGAAGTACTGTAGAAGCCTAAATTGTGTGTAAAATGTGAGCTTTGTCAGTGGTAACTGATTTTTAGGGTAAATCGCTGCATCATATTTGTGCTGAAACCAGTGTGTATACAGTAGGGAAAACATTTATTTGATCCCCTGCTGATTTTGTAAGTTTGCCCTCTTACAAAGAAATTAAGGGTCTGTCATTTTTAAGGTAGGTTTATTTTAACGTATAGAGACAGAATACCAACCAAAAAATCCAGAAAAAACACATTATATATAGAGTTAGAAATTGATTTGCATTTCAGTGAGTGAAATAAGTATTTGATCCCCAAGCAAAACATGACTTAGTACTTGGTGCAGAAACCCTTGTTGGCAAGTACAGAGGTAAGATGTTTTTTGTTGTTGGTCACCAGGTTTACACACATCTCAGGAGGGATTTTGATCCACTCCTCTTTACAGATCATCTCTAAATCCTTAAGGTTTCTTGGCTTTTGTTTGGCAACTCGAAGTTTCAGCTCCCTCCACAGATTTTCT